GATCCGATTGGTCTGTAACTTGTATCTTGGTCCTGTCTGTGCTTAAACAGTGTGTGTGCACATACATATATATGTACAAAATGCATATTCTGGCATACTTGTACTGTTGAAATCTTTGAGTATTGCACCAATTTGAACTACCTTCCTTATATTTTTCCTGTTTGTTTCAAGAGAAAAAAAACAAAAAATCCTGCAACTACCACATAGTGTCACTCTAGTCCCTGGAATGAGCAAAGTTCTCTTGTCCTGGAACTGCTGCTAGCATCATCTGCTTCAGAAATAGGAGAGTAAATACAATACCACTCTCTGCTTCCTTTAAGGAAGTTTGTATTCCAAAGCAAAAAGCTGAAACTGCTTGGAAAAGATATTGGGCTTGTCTACAGATCTTACTTCCCCAGGATGTCTGCATTGCGAATCAAAAGAATCCTGGATGGATTCTGAGCAAACTCAGGCTTACCCAGATGATGAGGGGACATGAGGGCTGTAGGGTGCCTGTAGATTGTCAGAATGGGGCCAGTGTCAAGGCATTGTATGTAGAGATGAGATGCTGCTGAGCATGATCTATAGCTCCTTGAAATTGCAGTATGTTCTCAGAAAAGTTAAAATAACATTTTATTTTACTGACAGTGAGTCCCCCAAGAATCTTATGCTCGCACAGAACTCCATTGTGACCCTTCTGTGTTTTGCTGCTCTCTACCTGAACTGGATTGTGGCCCTTAGCACAAAAGCAGCTCTTGCACACTGCATTTAGTATTGGTTAGAAGTATGGAGAACCTCATTTGAGGTTCTTTGCACTACAAGTATGAGACAAGTGCCACACATATGTTGAGGCATAACACAGAAACAAGCCCCTTAGAAAATAGTATTTCCAAACATCTGGCAAGAAGGGTCAAATACAGGAATGTTTATACATATATACACCTATAAAGAACAGGCTGATCCTTTTAATTAGATTATACAGAAATCCCCAAGGAATAGTAACATTTTTACTGACTTATCTCTTTTTTTCCCACTTAGGGTTTGCTAGATTATGTCCTGATCCCATTACTTTGTGTTTCTAATAACAGATGTAGGAAGTAGGAGAAATGATAACAGTACCATTGTTGCAGGAAGGCTACCTCCCTCACAGTATAATCTGCCCTCACCACCACCTCCACCAGCAACTACACTTCAGCTGGAAGACATGGTAAGCATACAGCTGGAACAGAACTGTATTTGCTTGTGACAAAAATGAACTTCCTTAGTTGGAGCTTTTTAAAAGTAAATGCCATAGCACGTTAATTGATGGAATCTGAAGATGGTCTAAGTGTAAAAAGAAACCTATGGGTATGTTCAGACTCCATTGTGTAAATTAAGTGACTGGGGCACAGCTGCTGTGACTTGCTATACTTACATTAAGCTCTGGGGTTTATTTTACTGAAAATATGTTAAAATAATGAAGAAAATGTCACTGTAGTAAGCAGAATTTGGTCTCTATGTTTCTGTCTGGAAAAAAGCTGTTAAGAGGTTTTTTTACCAAAAAAATGACTTTAATATAATCTCAAAAGAAGAAAAGCTGACTTGACTTGGTTTTTTCTTTAACGGTGTAACATACATAGACACTGAGGGAACTCAGCTTGTTGTCCTTTTATGGCAGCTTAGCCAGATGATTATCTAGTAGCCTGGATGTTCTGAACCTTCCCTGGAGTCATTCTGAAGCTGCTGCTTGTAAACCAATTGTAAAACAGTTTCATCCTAGAGTACAGGTTAGGACAGATAAGATGTGCTTGCCTCTCTCCTGATTTTCCATCCTAATAGTTTGAACTGTAATTCATACAATTTCTACAATTTTTAGACAACCATTTTTTAAACAAAACCAACAGTAAAACTAGAGATAAAATATCGGAAGTTAAATTTAGAAGGTTAATTGCGATAGACAAAAACCTGACTATCTTAAGAGTAAAGCTGTATTTTCTAAAAAGTTATACTCTTCTTTATAAACTCTGGTTCCATTTACAGTTTTCTACCCACCTGGGTCATGCAAACACTTCTCAGACCAGGCTAGATTCTCATTCTCCAGGAATCATCACTAGCACAGCTGCAGGATCTGGTGTGGCATCAACTCAAAAACTGGTAACATGCTAAAATTAAATTTTTTATTTTTTGAGGCATAATTAACACCAAATATTAGTTTGGTTATTGTTATTTTCGTATCTTTCAGAGCAACACAAATACATAGTTGAGGAAACCGTCATAAGGATACATAGCTGTGTGGACACTAGCTTGCAAATGCTTATTAATGTTACAGAAATCCATTTACGTTAAGACCAATTTTAAATTATTTTTGGAGGGGAGAGGGAGAAGTGTGATAAAATGAAGGATAGAAGAGTATATGTACACTTACAGCAGGAACAACTGGTGTTTCACATGATACCATTTTGTTATAGAAAGAATATGCTTTACTTTAGCATGCAGCTGTTTGAAATGCCTCTCTCGTTCCCTGTTCTGTAGTTGTTGTTAAACTGTCCTTTCACTTTTCTCCACTGTCTTCTTCATTGCTCTCCTTTCTTTTTCCCATCTAATACAGTTTGCTACTAGCTGTCAGAGAAAGATGCAGCATTTTACTGCATGGATTTTTTTTTTTCTATCTGCTATGTCACTGCTAGAAAGACTGTCCAGGGTGTTAGAAGTGCCTGCAGCTGTCTGTCACTCGAGTATGCAGCCAATGAGCAAACCTAAACTATTCAAGCTGCTTGATTTTTGTCAAATTAGCATTATTCCCCTCAGGATAGAAGTCACTTGCTCAAAATGCTATCTCAGAGTGGAAAAAGATGGAATAAACAAGGTTGCAACTAGGTGGCTCAAACTCAGTGACGTGTAACATAACTGGATTACCTGCAACATCCCAGGTTCTGTTTACGCACAATGGCTGGCAAAACTAAGCAGACATACTAGAGCATTAAATAATAGGTTTGGAATCTTTTACCAACTAATACTTTATTTATTTGTAGCCCATGGCAAAAGTAATAACATCTGCTCAACAAAAAGCAGGAAGAACAATCACTGCTCGAATCACAGGCCGACCTGATATGGGACAAAAAGCCAGAATATGTGGTAGTTTAGCGGTGATGGGAGTTGCTCCACCCATGAGTTCAGTCATTGTTGAAAAACATCATCCAGTCACTCAGGTAAGTCAGAATTACGCTTGTAACAGTATTCTTATTACAACACTTCTGGTAGCAGTTTAAAGAAAAATGACCATAGTGAAGAGGTATTGAGACAAGGCTCAGATCTGAGGTCTGTTTAAAATAACGAACAGTAGTACTGTGTTTGGGCTGGGTAGAAGGCACAGTCTTGACTCTCTTTCTTGGCCAGCTCTTCTGTGACTCTTCCTCTTCATAGAAGTGGTCAGTTGGTACAGCAGTGTTAGGTGACATCACCATGCAACCACAGTTTAAAGACAAGCTTCATGGTGCTGCATAGCATGAAGAGTGACTGAACCAGGTGATACAGCTTAGCTTGATAGGCTGAACGTTGCAAATTACTAGGGCAAAAAGTAAACACCTTTTCCTAAGACAATCAAATTAATCAAGCCTGATGCTTGTTGTATTTTGAGTCCTATTCCCACCATTTATCCTGAAGAAAACACGGAAATAATTAATAATGCATAGGTGTGAAAGCACCATACAAGATGACTGTAAAGTGGCCAAAATAGTCTAGGCAATTACTATACTTCTAGACCCGTCTGAGAAAAAAAAGGTTTTAACTGAAGGTGTATGAAACACTTGAAGATGTCTTTTTTCTATTTTAACCTGTAAACTAGGATCTGAGTTTTCTCTGTGCTATCTGAAAGTCCAGTTTCTCTTCACTGATACTGCCAGACCAAGCAGGGCTACATCACATCCCTTAATCTGAGCTGGAGTTACTGGTAACAGTCTGTGTGAGGGATGTTCTGCTTTCACTTATTTCCTGTGGTGAATCAGAACCCTGTGACAGGATGCACGTAGCTTTCAAGAATTTGGGCTCCTAAGCAGAAATTCATATCTAAATTGTATGTCCTTAGAGGATTAGAGGTTTGGTGTGAGACTTTTTTCATTTAGGACAATTGCTGGATTCACATTGTGTGACTGGTGTGGCAAGTAAAGTACCTCAACTACTCTACCAAAAACTGACTTCTAAAAATGTAATAAATGTGATAATCCCAGAGATACATTCCATATATTCTTTCTGCAAATAAATGCCTAAGTGGAGTCAACCAGATCAAAGCATTTCTTTTGAATTAATCTGACGGGAGAGAGTTTACTGTAATTAAAAGCAGAATGACTACTGTTCATTGCAGTAAGGTGGCTAGTTTTTTGGGGAGAAAAATAATTGTTGTTAAATAAATGCAAACATTTTCCTTTCAGAGACTTCCTCATAGCAAATACTCAACTTCAAAAGGAAAGTTGGCAGGATTAAATTATCATTACAGAGGAAAATTCTGAACAATTTGGTAAAAACAAACAAACCAACCTTCAAATAAGATTGAAGTGATAACAGTTTAGGGTACATAGTTAACTGGAAGTTTAGCACTTTATGTTCTAAAAAGTATATTACAGGTAAGGAAGGAAAAAGGTTACTCATTCTGTAAAAGTAACTTTTTTTTTTTTTTTTTTTTGATTGCAAATCTCCGTTTAAACTACAGCTCTCTTAGAGGCATTTTAATGGCAATATTTTTGTACCATTAAGTGTTTTGATGTATCTGATTACTTTTCAGCAAACGATATCCCAAGCCACTGCTGCTAAATATCCTCGAACTGTGCTCCATTCTTCTGGTTCTACCACTGAGAGACCTGCAGGACAAGTTGGGCGAATGCTTCAGGGCCAAACTCATACCAGTGTTCAGTCAATAAAAGTTGTTGACTGAGTGAGTATCTTTCTCACCAGTGGGGGTTTTTATAAAGGTACAATTTTAAACCTCTGCTACCAGGGCATAAAGTATGTATCATGTTTTTACCCTTTTCTAAAAAAAATCTCTTTGAAAATAAAAGTGCTTTTATAGTAAACATCTGGAGGGGGAAAAAGAACTTGAAATGTTGTTCTACCTCCAAACTATTTGAGAACTTATTTTATTAAGATAAACACTTCTTGTTTAAGGAATCTTTTGCACACTTTTAAATAAAGGATAGAGTGTGATTTTTGTCTCAATCTCTTTCTTTAGTCTCAATATTACTAACATCTACTTTCAAGTGAAAATTAAATTTATTTTTGTCACATATACTTTTAGTTGCTTATGCAGCTAAGTGTAGTTAATGTGCATTTTAATTATATATAACAGCATACTTAAATGGAGAATAACAGGTGATATCCTTAACCCCCAAGAGTGTGACTTGGGCCAGGTGAGGTATCAGTCCATCAAATTGTTAAGCATTCTCTTTTTCCAAGCTGTGCTGCAGAACTTGATGCATACCTGTCAGGATCTAAGAATTTGTGATCTTAGATCCCTCATTACAAAAACTGAGGATTTACCAGTCTGCTCTTTATATTTCTGTGTTGTTCTGCAGCCATGTCAAAACAGTTGCACACAAGAGGGCAGTTAGGCATAAGGCTTCAGACTAAGATACAGATCATTATCTTTTTAGTACAAACAATAAGATTCAGTACAAAATAATGCTAGCTATATATAGACAAGGCAATTCAATTCTTCCATTACATGATAAAATTACTGCTATTTTGTTAGAAAAGATTACAAAGATAGACATTTAATGTAATTTTTCAGATATGAAATGTATTCAATGAGAAAACCTTTAAACAAGTTCAGCAAGACACTACCAAATATTAGTTCAAGACATGAACAAGAAATAGGTAAATAACTGCTATATGTGTTAAGTATTAAATATCAAATGGGTTTTTTTGAGTATGTAGATAAGGTTATGCCTAATAGAAAATTATGCAGCCAGCCACACATGGTTTTAGATATGACATTTTTGGGTATTCTCACTACATAAATCAAATGCCGAAAAAGAAAGTCTTGCCCTAATCCTAGCAAGACTTTATAAATACCGGAATCCCAAATGCGATCAGGTGCCAACCTATTTCTGCAAGTGTTGATTTATACCCATAATTTTCACTTATCAAATTTAATTTCTTTCAGGTAGAAAACATCTTATTTACATTTCATGTCAAACATAAAATAGCTTAATTTGCAGTTCCAATGAAGAATTAGTGTATCAGTGTTAAGCCAGATCAAGAACTTGTAGGGGAATGGTTCTTGTTTAGCAGTATAGTCATAAATTGTCAGCCAGCCATTCACTCTTAAATAATTCTTTAAATCACTGTGTAGCAAGCATATGAGAAAGAACTAACCAATATTTCAGGAGTGCAGGTTCTTCTAGCTTTGAAAAAGCCATATAACTTTATTTCCAGAAAAGATATTATTTGTATTTGAAGTCAGTTTCCATCTGGCAAGTAACTCCATCATATATGTCATGTTTCATTGACGAACTCATGAAATTGCACATTTTCTGAAGTCCATGTCAACGTTACTTGCAGCTCTGATTTTCTCTGTAAGGAGGATAAAGTGTTTGCTTGATATGCTCTGCTTTTTACAAGGTCAGACTAATCTAACTGAAGAATAACCAATCACATTTCAACCATGTTTGCAGGACAAAGGAAGCAAAGTGTGCACATTATCTTCTTTTAGAAATCTCAGGACTTACTTGAATGCTCTTCCTCAAGAAACTGAACCCCCCAGCAAGGGCAGAGTCCCAGAAAGGAAAAGATGTTTTCCAGCTCTGTCACAGTCACACCTTCTCAGCACCAGCAAGGACCTCAGCGCCCCACTGCAGTCTTGCAGAGGACACTGTCATGTGCTCTGTAACAACTTACCAGCTAAATGCTGAAATCCTGCTTCCACCAGATCTTCGTATATATGCTTGACAGGATTCTGATGAGCCAGCAATATACCGTGTAACCAGATGAGCAACATTCTGTTTCCATGTTCCTTATAACTTTTTTTCCCTATGCAATACACAAAGCATTTGTCTGTTCCATATGCTGGAAACAGTGTATTTTGTGCTTTTGCACGTTTAGAGTTCCAAGAGGTTTTAAAACCTACTCATTTATTCTTATTCTCACCTAGAAGCAAAATGAAGACAGACTTACAAAGGTTAAAAAAAAAAAATATCTAGTTTTATCCTAAGGCTACTTTAAAGGGAGAAAAAAAAATGCTAATATGTCTTAAAATTCTTTTTTTCCTTTAATTTTTCCTCAACATGTGGAAATATACCCTGACATAGTAGTAAGCAAGTACAATGCATGCTATAGAAGCACTGCTATCCCAGTGCTTGAGATGCCTGAAACCAGAAACTGCTGTTTCATGACAGCTGTGGTGACAGAGCATGAACAAGGTCTTCCTCTGTCATGAGGTTCCCCAGGTCCTCACTTGAATCATGACCTGCAAGACCCTTCCATGCTGCTCACTGCTCCTGTTTTTGATTTTGAAAGATGAATGTTCCTTCAGGCCATGAGGGAGAACAGAAGTGGCCTGGTACTTCTGGAGCACCACTTCCCTGGAACAACGTTTGTATCCATTCACTGCTCTTTTCCATAATCTGAATAAGAGCACCATGGCCAGTGTGTATCTGTGATATATAATTTAAAAAGCGACTCTGCCTTGTGGTTTTTATAGCTTATGTATTATGTCTAGCCATTCAGATAATGTTACCTGTCCATTGTTCTTCAATAGCTTTAATTTGTTCTTCTGTGAACTTCCAGAACAGGGCCAGTTTTTTCCATTCCTGGGGTTTTAACTGGTTGTATGCTAGATTCCAAAGGGAGGAACGGATTTGCTTGGTCTGTGTACTATGATCTTGTTTGAAGGATAAGTCTAAGCCTGAACCATCATCACTATAAGCTACATGTTCCTGAAAAAGAAAGCAGATTATAATATTGTGATGAAGCTGGGAGCCTCTGCTTAGTGAGCAGTGAACAGTGTGTCCCATACAGTCCTATGTAGCTACTGACAGGTGGTTTGCTCAGTGCAGGTAAAGGGCTAGTAGAAGTCTTTGAAGATGTCTTAGCATGGATGATGTAATATTAGAGAACAGAAATGAAGCCCTCCTGTGCCTACTGCTATGTCTTAAGTTAAACGCGCGAAATGAACCACTTTCTGTCTGTGGCACTTGATACACAATAGCAAAGAACAGCAAGTACTAAACCAGCACTGCTGTACTCCTTGGCTCTGTCTACTTAATATGTCACATTTTGAACATGGTTGGGTTTCAACCCAAGAGTTCTTACTCTTTCCTCTTGCTTCTCAAAGTGCTAAGTTCTCCCTCAGAAGAGGCTAGGCACCATCAGCATGGTGCTTGCTGAAGCTGTTCCCACCTCTGCACTGTCATTTCTGCTTGGCTTGAAGCAGAGACTACCAGGTCATTTGGTGGCAGCACAAGCCATTAGATTTAGCACTCAGACCCCCATTCAGCAAAGTGTTTAAGCACCAATAAGCACATGTGTGTTGAACCTGGATCTAGTTTTATTGCCTGCATAAGCAAAATCAGAAAAAAAACAAAACTGCAAGCATTTTACTCTCCAGATTAAAAGTGATCTTGCTACTGTATGCGTGGCTGACCTGAAACAGGAGCGACATGAGTTGCTTCTTGTTTGGGCACCTCTGCAAAAGTCATGTTTAGCAGTGATTTCAGCCCTAGCTGATTGGTGCTCAGGTAAAAGCCATTCCTACTGTAGGTAAGCTCAAATAACTTTTATATTTGGTTTTGTTTACATGCTTGTCCTCAAATCAGTCTCTAAAGTGAAAATTGTCTTCAGGATGTTGCAAAAAAGGAGATGGCAGCATGCCTCATTTTGGAAGTGCTAAGCATAGAATACTCCATTCCAGATAAAGTTCATAAAAATCCAAAGGGGTATTTCCTAACCTTATGAGAGTCTTGCAAGAAAAAAAGAGAAATCTTAGTAACAGGATTGTTATGTATATTTGATTCCATTTTTCTGGTGCAGACTTTATTTAATGATTCCTGACACACGCAAGGTGAGGTTTAGGACATTCTACAGGACAGCTTCAGGCTCTCTCCACTTCAGTGTTTATCTTTGGAAGTTTAAAAAACCAAAACCACTAAAAAAAACCCACAAACAAAAAAACCCCTTTTTTTCCTCCTTCCTTTGCAGCAGCACAGCTTCTCTTTGCTGCTAATTGTCTGTCTAGGCAGTGGCAGAGTGGGACAGTAACAGTAGCTCTCATATCCAGTCAAAAACAACAATAGAGAAGGGTTGGGTAGAAGCAGTAAATACAAAAAATGGCAAATGGAGAGAACAAGTTACTCACACACTTTAGTATTGTGCACTTCCTCATAGCAACATGACATTTCCTTTTGGAAATGCCTTGTCACAGGTAAGTCAGCTCAATGTAGTAAAAAGACAGTTCTTGCAATAATGGTTCAAAATACTGTAGTTTCATATATGGTAACACCACCTGAACAGTATCATATTCCATAACTGCAAGATCTAAGCTGCTCCCAAAGGCTGTGCTTCTATCTTCAGGTAATGGGATACAAACACTTCTGTTTCCCAACATCTGTGCAACTCTTGCATAAAACCATCTGCTTAAACATCTTTTCTTCTCCTCAGACAATTCAGTAAACAATGCCAAGAGCTTAGGAGCATTATGGGCTCACTGCTGTCAGACTTGTCTTCTCTGGCAACAGATGACTTTGCTTCTAATTCCCCTTTAAGCGAAAAGAAACTATAAGGTGCCTGACAACTCCAGCTGGACTCATGCAAATCAAATATGCATTACACGGGGAGTTTGTGGAGACATTTTTCATGAAAATTGACTGAACTGACAGTCAAGTGAATTCCTTTCACCAATCCTTTTGCCCCAGTTGGCTCTGGTGCTCACAGAATTACTTGCTCTACAGAAACAGTGTTAGCATGGTGGATGCTACAAGAGATGTCTTCTACTGCCTCACTAGGACCAGTATGCAAGTAAACAGTGTATTTGAGGGAGTTCGGCGATTTTAAACCGTACTGTGTCAAAACCCAGCAAATTTAACCAATTCTCAGGGAGCGTACATAAACCTATGGCTCCAAACAAGAAAAACTGAGCAAGCCAATACAAGACTGGTTTATGGAACACTCATATGCCCTAAAATGAACCTTCACCATCCTATGAAACAGCTCCCTTTCATCAAGTGTGTAGGTATAGCAGGTTCTTTGTGGCTCATTGCTACAACTGTCATTGATGTAACAAATAAGCTCTCTCAGAATTTTAAATGGTCCCAGTTAAGACCCCAGGACATGAGACATCCTGAATTTTCAAGACCCATTTGGGCTGGGTGTGAGTTTCAGGGCACATCTCTGTGCTTCACCAGCAGCTCCAAATACTCTTGATTTTAAGAGGTACTAAGGTTAGCTTTTCTTGTTCAGACACTTACTGCCTATAGCGCATGTACAAATTCATAAGAGACGTGGGATAATCAACACAGGCCAAAATAAATTGTCATATACATTTTAATACATCTGACACTCAGTCCTTTAAGGAGGCCCATTGCTATGCAGCCTACATTTAAATAACTAGGGAAGGAAGGTTAGGAATTCAGACAATTCTGAGGTCAATCTAAGCTGTGTCATTCACACTTGTTGCCTGGTTCCTTCCCATTCCACTGATTGCATTTTATAATTAACACACATGAAACAGAAGAGAGCTTTTGCCAAAGCAGCTGGGACTTCACTAGCAAAGGAGCGACAGACACCTGCACTCCTCTGTTTTTCAACCACAGATTTTGCTCTACTAAAGAACACCGGGATCAGTGTGGATTCAGGTCATCTGAGCCCTGATGCTGATGGCACAGTTTAAGTTTGGGTCAGAATCTCTCTCCACCCCTTTATCTCTGCGTGTAGAGCACGATGCAGGAAAACAGTAAGATCTGCCTACAATTTTACAGCTAGTCAAGAATAAAACCTGGATGGGGTAGAGACCTTTCTGTTCTCAGAATATAACAGAATAATGTAGAGAACTCAATTTATCAAGGCCAGTTTGCAGCCTGCTGCCAAAAGCAACCACCTCAGTCAAAAGGCGCTTCAGGATCAGAATCAGCTTTTCCCTTACAGTTCTCAGTGTAATGAAAGATGTCTCTTACCTGTTTGGTGGCATAATACCTTTCTGCTTTAATGATCATATCTACAATGAGGGCATGACTGCTCCTTGATGCCACAGCTAGTGCAGTTTTTCCATGCTGGAAGCAGAGATAGTCAATCAGAACATTATCTCATATATATGAGGATAAGTATATCATAGAAGGAACACAGGACCTTCATTTACAGATCCCCATCCTATTCTTCAACAAAATATATTACTATAATTTTATGGCTTCAGGGCAGCTATAATCAAAATCCTATGCTTTGTACACACTGTATCCCCTCAGCTCAGAGGTGGCTAATTTTTTCCCTGCACTGAACTCCCCCTAAAGAATTTCTGATGAAATACAGCTGCTTTCAGAAATCTGCACTCAAACTGCTGCACAGTTCGTAACAGCTTGCACTCTGCGGTCACCCTTTCCAAGTTCATGCAAGCCCAGGAATCCACAGGCTGAATACTACCCTAAATACAGCACATTTCCATGTTATGGTTAAACTGCATTTCAGATGGATAGGCTGGCAAATTTAGAAACCTCCAAATTCAAGGGCACACCTGTGTCTTGTTTTGGTAAGAGGAGCTGGCTCACAGAATGAAAAGAGGGTGTGGGAATGACTTTCTCATGACAACTGAAGTGAGCACAACTGAAGGTGATGTTTCACAGGTACTACAGGCAGTGGAATTACAAGCCACTGCTTTAATTCCAGTTATAGAAGACTGCTCAGTCTATCTGAACCCCTCTCTGTTATCAGCACTTCAATGTAAGGGCATCTCAATGGCTCTACAGGGCTCTCCGCAATTGTTTTCAGCAGATTTGCACTGAGTGGATCTGCCTCAGATTTAAATACTTGGGGTATTCTCCACATATCAAGTGCTTGGCATTCTAGAAAATTAGACCTAAAAGAAGCCAACCCCTTAATTAGAAGATTAAATTATAAGGCATTTCAACTCTCCAGCTATTATAAAGTTATGTAATATATAACCTTTTGAGTTCTAGCTCCTGGCTCTCCTCAAGATCATTCTAATTAGCCTGTTTTTAGAAAAGCACCGCATTGGAAGCCAAGGAATTTACATTTCATAAAATCTTGATAGCATAGAAATACATTATATGTGAGGAGTCCAGAGACCACAAGAAGTCCTTGGGTCCCACCTCTGGAAAAATGCCCTGCATTTTGCAGGGAGGTGGACAGGGTGGAAAAGGGGGGTGTTTCTGGCCTCCTGTGCTAGTGCAGACACCACTGGCATCCTGCCTGCACATGTAGCACAGCAGTCTTGCACACAGTGAGCACTCACTGCACTATCAATCACAACCAATGACAATTATATCTGCAGATGGGAGGAAGGAAGAGCTCCCATGAGAGCATTTCCTGAGCTGTAACAACTTGCAACTCATGCAGATGCATGACAGACTCTGGAGGCAGGGGACTCTTGCTGCTGGGGCACTGAGGCCAGGAAAATGCTCTGCAATCGAAGCAGGGTCCCCTTTATCCTGCCTGCTATTCAGTAAGGTCAGGAATATTTTGGACACCACCGGACCAATTCAGTTCAAAAAGGGCTATACTTGTGAATGTTCCTAACAGTGTCATGGCCTTAGGGATCATCCAGCAAACAGGCAAGGGAAAAGCTGCTGCAAGAAATAAAACCAATGCAGAAAGGTGACAGAACTTGTGTTGGCTCAAAGCTATATTCTTATAACATACCCTGAACTCTGTCAGCACTGCTGTAATACTAGGGCACTATCCAGTGTCACAGGGCTCACAAGTGCTTAAGGTCAAAACAGGCAATTTTCTGTTCCTGCTTGTGGAATACAAATAGGTAGAGACAATTTTCCAATGGTTAAGGCATTCTCTAAAGTGGACAAAATTTCATTCTGGGTTAGTCCATATGAGAACTGCAGCTCTCCAGCTGGTACAAATGACTCTCAATGGGAAGGCTTAATTGCAATGCAGCATCTTACCTCAGCTTCCCAAAACACACTGACTGTGTCACCCACACTCGGAGCCCCAACCCTCATGTCAGGCTAGGGAAAGAAGAGATGATGCTAGTCCATAAAGCTTTACTCCTCATCAGGACAGTTTGTGCATGACAATTACTTTTTAAAAATTACTGAAGATGTAGATTTTGCTCATGATAAACATCTAATCTGTCAATTCAGTCATACAGAAAGCCAGTATAGTGGTAACAGTATAAAAAGCAGAAGTTCAATCTTGCAGTAATTTAGCAAAATTCGTAAAAAACTGGATTTGGTACTCTGTCTTTTCAAAAGCAATTCCCCAGAGACTGTTTTGGTACTTCTTCCAGTCACTGCCATTCTTGCCTCAGTCTTTCCAGGCTGTACATCAGAAACTGGGTCTAAGCACCCACCTGAATGGATCTGGGACAGCTTCTCAGAGACATGACACCATCATTTCCCAGATGGGCCAGAGTGCTAAAGGGCAAACTCACCATCACTGCAATTGGTGGAGCTGGCAGTACCTGTGCCTCTGCTGGCAAGGAACCTGGCTGTGGGTGCACAGTTACAACAGCCACAAGCCATTTTCCACTCCATAAACCTAGTCCTTTTTTTCCATCAGAAGCCTCTGGCAGCAGGGTTTACCCTTCAAACTACAGAGCTTTGAAGTTTTACAGCTCTTCACTAAAGCAGTTTTGGGTCTCTGCAAGCTGCAGCTATGGCAATATTAAAAGGATACTTCCTAGGAAACTAGGACTGTCCTAGACACCTAAGAAAGACAACTGGCAACAAGTGCTCCCTGCATCTCTGGCATGAAGGTTATAAAATAGAAAATAAAATCACATAATCCTTGCGTATGTGAGGAATGCAATCTACCTTATCCACAGTCTTGAGATTGCAGCCTGTCTTCAGCAGCACTTCCACCAGCTCCACATTGCCAAGATCAGCTGCCAGATGTAGAGGAGTTTCCTGCCTCTGGAATTAGTGACACCAAATAAATACAATAAGCCAAACTCCCTCTTAGAAGCAGACTTCTTACAATCTAAATCTAAAGGTTAACAAGAGACAGCCTTGGCAAAAAAACCATTGAACAGAATGAAATCATTTAACTTTTGAGTGATGTACCTTCCAGTTTTCTTTCAGGCAGACAGCATCTGGGATCTCCCCAGGAAAACTGGGCAGGAGTTCCAGCTGGCTCAAGAAAAAGTTGCTGTCGTGCCCTGCTGACATACTGTAAACATAACAAGCTCTCTCTCTCAACCCTCACCCATACTCTTGAGTAACTTTCTCCCTGCTGAAATTCACGCAAAGACAACTGGACATCCAAAATTTTCAACAGTACATCAGTACACTGTGCCATGTCCACAACAGGGTTTGTTAGCTCAGCCAGCTACAGTGATACATGGAATTCTACCTACTCCATTAGTGGGTTCAGTGAACCTTAAATCACACACACACACAAAAAAAGGGGGGGGGGAACATTAAACAAAATCAAACCATTAACAAGAAGTACAGCTAAAGGGGCAAGCTTCAAGTCTAATCTCTGGGTCTGAAATAAGGGTTGTATAGTCTGTCCACAGCTGCATGTACCCAAATAAAACCTGTTTATTTATTTAGCCCTCCACAGAATATTAACATAAGAAATTCCAGACGTCTATGGGAATAACAGAGCAACAAAAAAGGTATGTTGTCCTTTGTGGAAAACCTGCATATCTGGACAAGTCCATTAGCATGTTTCATGTGACACAGCATCATTTTAAATTGAAGTACTTTTGGGAATACACACTATGATCACATGACCTCACAAATTTCACCCAGCAATACATCCTAATTTCTTTTCTGTGGTAATTTAGAGATCTGTATGTAGCTACTGTATGAACCACAGATATGCTAGAGACAAAGCACGAAACATTGCTAAAAGATGGGTTCAAGAAGTTTACAAAACTCTTTATTTTATGTGACAGAATCATACTTGACTCCAACCACAAATGACAGCCTCTGCCTCAAACAAAAATGTGTATAAATTAATCTTTATCAATAAAATGATCAACAGGAAGGGATGAACTACAGATTTCTCAAAGATTAGTTCTTGTTACTATTGTGGGGAGCATTGCCACCTGTCTTGTGAGAGGCCAGAGTGCATTTCCCCAGCAGGGTGTCACAGTGCCCAACTTGGGACGACACACCTGGTGGGATAGTCTTTCCACAGCTGAGATGTAGGGTTGATGCAGAGGGAGAAGAGAGATTCTTTCTGAAGCTCCGCAGCTGGCAGGCTAGTCTATACACGATGCTTCACCATTCCATTATGGCCAAGGTGCCAGTGTACAACATGCACAAGCTCTGTACAAATTTCTGCCACGCAGAGCATGAGCACTGAATGTCACCCAGATTGCTGGGGGCCTGGTTGTTGGCCAGGTTGTTGTAGACCACCTCCACCACCATTAACTCCCTCAGATACTGGATACCTTCTTCTGTGACAGTCTACTTGCCTTGCTAGTTTACAGTATCTTCTTTGAGGAGGTATCTTGCCTTCACACTCAATAAGAGCCACCTCCAGAGGCTCGCAGGTGCCTGCCTCTCTTCCAAGCTTTTGTCAATCCCATAGTCCCCCAGAGATGGATGCCAGCTGCTGGGCTTCCCTACTTTCCCAGCACTGGAGAACCAGGTAGCAATGTGCTCACCTTGCTGATGAAACCTGCTGCCTATCTTGTAGATTGTTCAGGGATGGGGACCAGGTAGTTTCCACCTCTCTTGCCATTTCTGTTTTTTCCCTCTGCTGTCCTACTTCCTCCTCTTCCCCCTTCCAAGCCTCAGCAGGAGCTGCTGCTTCTCTTTCTAATTGAGTCGACATCTGCTTCCACCATACTTTTATATTTGAGGGTTAGGTTTCTAGTTAAGTCACTGCTTGTGCCCTCAGATTGAATGACCTTTTCAGGGTCCATATGGTGGCTTCAGAGCAGGAGACATTCTCAGCATCCCCCTGTGTGCTCCTTCATCAGGAGACCCTCTTTCTCTTTTGAGGGCACTGGATGGCAGCTCAGTAGCACGGACCAAGCCCCAACACAGCATTAGAATTCATCGTGTTCCATCAGGGCAGGCAAGGCTCCCCTCATTCAAGTGGTGCATCAATTACCTGGGACTACATGCCGGTTCAGGCATGAAATCCCAAACTATTGGAGGCAATAACAGCCCCAGGCACCTACCCTGCTCCTCCCACATGAGGACTGACAGCCTGTGGGCACATTCCTTTGTTGCATTCCCAAATAGTTGTTTAACCTTATGAACAATAATCAAAATCAGGCTCACAACACACACTAGTATGAAGAGTCTGATTACAGAAGTATATTCAAGGAACTGAGTAACCATTAGAAGACAGTAGGAGACACCTATCTGGAGAAGAAGGGGTAGGTACCATTCATTCCTCTCTCCACAAAGCACGGTCTCTAAGGAGAAAAGGGGGAAGGTGTAATTGCTGTTTTTCTCCATGAGATGGTTCTCTGAGTACCTGTATAGCAGCAGCATAGGGCCCCAAAATACCAGATGATACTCAAGGCCAGTGCTTCTATCATGGCAAAACACAGGGATACAAAACAGAGCAAAAGCTTAAAATGGTCATTAACAATTTTAGGAGGTTTTGTACAGCAAGAAAGGGATCAAGGATGCTAGCACCAAAGCAAATACATCAGCACACATCATGTGGCCTTCCACAAAGGAGGGTATTCCACTACCTGAGGGGATTAGCAGTGGTGGAGGTTGGTCTACTGCGAACTGGAGAACAACCAACCAGGCCTCCAAAGACTACTGGCACCAAGCAGACGCCAAAAAATCCTGGCAAAAGTAGGAAAAACAGTTCCCAGTGTCCCTGGGTGGGCTCGAACCACCAACCTTTCAGCTAACAGGCTGAATACACTACCCAATTGTGCCACAGAGACCTGTGACTTAACCATTTAGAGTGAGGTGTCATGTGGAGCATCACTTTGGTCAGTTCTGGTCATCTGCTTATTTGTGTCCCCTCCCAGGTCCCTGCACACCCCCAATCTATTCACTGGGGGGGCAGAGGGTGGGACAGAAAAGGCCTTGGTGCTATACAAGCACCACTCAGCAACAGCTAAACCTCTCGTGCCTTACCAGTGCTGTTTTGTTCATGAATCTAAAACACAGCACCCTATGGGTTGCTATGAAACAATTAACTCCTTCCCCATCAAATGACACTCTGCACTGAGTTTCTCTGAGATCAGTACCGCTGGAACTTCTGCCATTTATTACGCATGAAATAAAACATTCAAACAATAAATTAATCCAAATATTTTCTTAGTATATAGCACTTTGCTATTCTTATCTTGCACAAACAATACTAGCACATCATGTACTAGTGATAAAAGCACATGCACACACGCAAAAAGATAAGGAGCAAACTGCCTCTTCCTTCGTATTTTTTTGTACCCTGAGTTCATAAGGAAAAAAATAATATTTCAAACAAAATCCATATAATCTCCTCTTTACCAGAGAATTTATGTTAATTCCCAGTATTTCTTACATGATTTAAGGAGTTTATATCATGATTGGCATCCAAGAGGCTTTTTACTACTGGTAGATGATTATTGATGACTGCTAAATGAAGAGGGGAATTCTTCTGCTGTGGAGAGAAAATAATAAACTATTATACTTGTGTACATTATTAGTTCACTCAAACAAGAAAGAGGTTCTTGTTCGTATCTGCCCCTTGCAAAGGCAATATGCTGTAGCAGAGGTTCAAGACCACAAAAAATACACCTTGAGGTGCTGAGTTATGTCAGGGATGGTAGCCTGCTCCTACAACACCTACAGCAGGAGGTAAACAAACACAGCTGAAAAACCTGGAAATGTTGAATGCACAGGGTGTGTATCAGTGTGTCACCACTTAGGAACACAGCAAGGCATTGCTCTTACGCGTTCATAGCTGACATGTGCTGCTATGCTTCGCCAACAATAGAGAGCTTAGGGTAATGTTTCTGTTCCCTCAGAAAATTCAGTTTGTACTTAGTTGAACAGGCTGGAGGCAAATTAATTCTTTGTTGGGTAAACAGATGTCAAAGTCTACTTTCCAGGAAGAAACACTTGTCATATACTGCTGCTGGAAATATTCTTCATATTAAACTGACTTGCTGTCATATTTATAAAAAGCAAATTACAGCCAGAAAGAAATTAAGGTTTTTTTTTTTTATTTGAGTGGTTATTTATTCAAATAAGCGGGGCACAGATCTAACACCAGTCACAACCCAACCATTAGATTGGCGAAATCACTTTGTATGTTGAACCTGTGACTCATCAGTTTCTTGTTAAATACAGCTAAAGAGTAATTCCATACCAGTGCCATTCACGGGTGCCAGACACCAGTTCATTAGTGTCTTTATAAACCACAGCCATTTCTTCAGGGCTACAGAAAAATAAAGTAAGCTCCTATTCAATGCTGCACTGGAAACATTTCCAAAATGTAAGCTACAATTCTATGAGTTGCTTCTGCTACAGAGAGCCAGTGAGAACAAGCAGCACAACAACTGCCTGATCTTTAAAATAAATCATTTCAAACACATCATAAATTGTTCTTCCTTGATAACATTACACAACAGGCCAGTGATTATGGCAGATAAGTCACGAAGCCCAGATTCTATTTTTGTCCTGTATTGTAGAGGTGGAAAATAATTTCCTATTTACAGAAGATTTCTGATGTAACAAAAACTATAATATATAAACTGAGACAAGATTTGAATATTAGGCATATGTCTTTCTTTTTAAAACCCAAAGAATGGTGACATGCAGATTTTGAAGGCATATGCTTTGAGTGCAGAGGGTGAAAGAATTGAAGTGTTTATTTACCTTTTATTTACCTTAATTCAGAATCAGTTGCAAGCATTAATTCTTTGCCCACAGCACACAGGGAGGCCTGCATTATTGCTGCTTAGTTCAAGCAGCATACTTTGCTCATCTGCTCTTAATGCTGGGTCCCTGATTTAGCCTGGCTACCTCTACACTGCAGTGAACCAATTTGCCCAGGCATTCACTGGGTTTGTGCAACAGGACATTGTCTTTGTTTGTCCATACATATTGCTAACCACCATCCATAAACCACATAATAACATGGATAGCAAAAATATAAAGGAACAGTCAATCTCATTCAGCTGTTTGAATTCCCAAGGAAAGCAATAAAAGACAGGACAGGCTGAACAACAGCAGTTGTGATATACACTCACCTCAGGTTTAGGAACCAGGTCAATATGCTTATCAATAAGGAAAGTTACCAAGGATAGATGTCCATTCTGAACTGCAATCTGCAAAGCACTGTTATTGTTCTGAAAAAAATGGTACAGGCAGCAAAACCTTACATTTTTGTTGCTGGAAAAACAGTACAAAAGAGAGCTATCAATATAATATTTTTTTCAAATTTGTGTTATTATCCCCTCCCCTCAAAAATCTCCCTTTGATAAAATGTTATAAAATGAAGTGGATAAGCAGGTAGCATGATATGTTTTGTAAATATTGAAATAACTTCCCATTTTTACTATATCACATCAAATGTGCTATAACACCAGTATTTTATACTCATTTTCAATCTCTTTTAAGAAAGAGATACATCAGCATTGTCAGCTATCCTGCACCATGGACAACAACAATGCCAACATGTCTCCTAGTCTGTTAGTTCAGTTTGCCCTTTAACAAGTACAGTCACATTAACTTCTAAACTTCTCAAAATAAATCAATAGAAAATTTTCACTCAATAATTCTGGTAAAACAAACACGCTCTCAGTCTGCTGGAATTATGAAGTTCTCACAGCAGGCATGCCAAGGCCATTCAACAGATGTGAGCTGGAGTCCAGAAACCAGATGTGGAGAACAGGTTTGTCACCAGTTCAGTCATATACACTGCCAAAAAATGATGATTTTCAGTTACCCTACCTGGTTACATTTCCTAGTCATATGTTTTACCATTGGACATACAGCAAATAAATCAGTTCCACCACAGTACTGTCAAATAAATCTATGCTATATTTCTTCCACATCAGTTTTACTGTTAGCACTCTCTACACTCCAAATTCTTTTTTTTTTTTTTACCATTTCTTTAAACTAAGCAGAGCAAATATACCGTTAGTACACACAGAAAAGAAGAGATAAGGTCCTTCCCAGAGCCCAGGATGTCCCAGTACCTGTGTGCTGGAGGGATACTGTGTACGTACCTGAGTTAAAACATTGATGTCACTCCCTGCTTCCAGTAAGAGTTCAGCACATTTTTTGTGACCTCCTTCAACAGACAAGTAAAATGGGGTTTCTCCGTTCTAGAACAACAGAGGGAGAATGTCTGTTCCAATTTAAGCCATGTAACTACAAGGCTGTGACACAAAACAGGTTAGCTCAATCAGGCTCATCCAGCTAATAGAAAAGTGGAGATGGTCACAATAGAGCAGAACTTGAATGCTCCTAAATTAACAATTAAATGAAATGGTAACTCACCAACACTTAAGTGACAGATGACATTGGACAGATGTACGGTCACATCTGCTGTGGACAGATGTATGGTAAGGTTTACAATACAGATAGCTATTTAATAAATATTAATTGCACTGTTTTCAATGAAGATTGATAGCAACAGGAACAGAAACAAAGACAGTGTGTATCATCTGCTGATCTTCAACACAGCACATACTGTAAGTACCAATTTCTGTCAGTCTAATGCCATGGATTTCTGACAAATTCCCAACCAGTCTTAGTTATAAAGAGAACTTTTAGCAGAAATAATTCTGTTGCATATTTATTTCAAATATTCCCACTCCAAAAAAGTCTCCATGTCTCCACAGCAAGACTCTTAAATAAGTTACATCAGCTACACAATGATCATTATAATCCCTGCTTATCAACTCCTAAAATACACAAAGGATTACTGAAAGACACTCTAGTGTTTCAGCATTCACAGAAGCATCAATAAATTCTGATTTTTCTTTGCTTAAACTCCTGTCACCATTATTCTGGTAAACTTTATATATTTTAGTGCTTTCCTCATACTGGTGAAAGAGAAACCTGTTTATCCACAGACCAGAACATCTCCAGCTGGACAGGAAGGTCACATGATTTGCCATGGCTAGGCAGGGGCACAAGCAGTATGACCTTTGTGTGCAGAAGCAACACTGTTACACAGGGCTTGGAAACATGAGAACTTCACATTCTAAAGGGGCTTGTGTGCCTCAAGGCTCACATTGCTGGAAATAACAGACAAGTTGGATAAGAGAGATCCCCTCGACCCATAAATCTGCTGCAGATTAAGGAAGAGGAGGGCCTTGGGTCAGAGTGGGTGTCCCTTACTCATTTCGCCCACTGAGCCAGCAGAACAGACCACTGACCACGCAGCAGGTTCCTGCAGTGAGCATGCCAGCCCACAATAAAGTTACTTGCCCAGTTCATTCCAGCTGCCCCACAGAAAGGGCAGAAGAAACACGGACCCTTTGCAAAGCAAGAAAGACAAGTTGAGTAGTTAGGGTGCATTTCCCTTCTCCACCCCTACTTTAAGGCTTAAAATTAAGCTCATGAGTGCATCAACTTCGGGATACAACCTTCACAGCTAATATGCAATTTAAGAATATACTGGCTGAGCTCCACCAACACCAATCCAGGAAAGAAAAAGTGGGTAGGCAGTGTCTGCAGTCAATTGAGATCAGATGAACAGGTACAAATCTGACACCTCTTTACTGAGGTGCCTGGGACAGTATGTGCTGGGTATGCATGTTGAACTGGCTCAGTGCACAGTCTGAACAGTATCAGAGATGGTAAAAGGAATGGAATCACGTGGCCAGAAATGATGGAGGACAGGAAGCAAGGTGGAGGTCAGGCCCTCCTCTATTTTCTTCTACTGGTAGTTATGCAAGGGCATTCGAGATGGAGAGGGAGGCCATTGTGTGAAGAGTAGAGGACAAAGGAAGAGACACGAAGGAGTTAATGCAGCTGAATTCATTGAAGGAGGGACAACAAAACAGGATGCAAAGGTACCAGAAATGCAGCGAAACTAATGAAGTCTACTCAGTGCAACATTTATTCCTTCATCTATTTCAGTAATTTGTGTCCTTACCTGATTAAGCTCATTTATTTCCTCCCACTGTTCAAGCAGAATTTCTACAACTTCGCTGTGACCATTTTTGGCTGCTAGATGCAATGCTGTGTTTCCCTCCTTGAAATTAAAATGTCAAATAAGATATTTTAAAATCCAGAGTGAAGTCAAAACCAACATAAAGCCTTTGGTCTTTCACATACATCTCTTTCTTACATACAAGGAGAAGGATTCAGATCCACACAGTATGTTCCAAGATTCAGACTAATCCAAAAGGAGTCTCTTCACATGTATGCAGACATGACCTTGCCAGTCTAGTTGGTTGCCTCATATTCTGAAAACTGCAGTGCATGACCAGTGAAAAGACCTAAAATTCTAACTTCTAAAGAATGAATCAGAAGAAAACTGGGTACTGGTTCCAACACGGATAAAGGATATCCCAAGCCCCCAGGATCATGGATTTAAAGATTAATAGCCAAAACCTAAGTAAGTATGTAGAAACTTGCCTTGGCTTTGATGCCAATGTTGCAATCTTTGACCTTCACCATCAGCACAATTTCTCATTAGCTAATTATGTAAAAAACCCCAAATCAACACACCAGCAAACAAATAAAAACAAAGAACAAGTTCAGAAAGAGCAGCAGGTTTTGAGCTAAAAGACTACACTGGCACAAGAAAAAGTATAAAACTGGCTAAAAACAAACTAAAGCTGTAAATTAGGAGAATAATCCTAACCCTCAGAGAAATGAGAGTCCAGAACAACTTTTCATTCACAGAACCGAGAATCCTTTTTAGAAATAATGGATACAGTGTGATTGCTTTTAGTGACCCAGAAGATGAGTTTCTATTCCGGCTTCTTACCTACTTACTCTGTAGGATCACAGCATTTGCCTTCCATAGTTGCTGTTTACACCTTCAGCCTGCTAAAATGTCTCGGACAACACTATCTTTTAACCTCTGCTGATAAAGTGCTTAGCACAGCAGAGCTCTGGGTTGCGCTGCAGCTTATAAACTATTACCACAATACCAACAAACAGCATCACTTCCTCAGTGCTTACTTACACGGTTCTATAAATGCAGTATCTGACCATTTCACAATTCTTACTGTATTTACTGTTGCAGTGCTTCAGATGCAGAGAAATACCAACTTGCTCATTCCACAAATAGTCAAGTAAGGACTAAGTAAATTTAAGGGCAGACTTTGAAAGCTATTTAGATACCTTTAAAATTCAGTGTCAAAAGCAAACTCCATCAGATTGAAGTGTTAAAGCCCTTCTGAAAAATCCCCACAGGTATTTGTTTGCATCCTGAAGTATTTAAAAATCTTTGAAAAATTAGTAATGTGGGACTTAACAGTAGCACACAAACACAGCGAAGCAGAGTGAAAAACTGGGAAATACAATCTCCCAGTAAAGAGGCTGACACCTTAATCATCAGACTTTCCTACTTCTCCCAACAGACAGCATATGCTAGTCTGGCTTTACATGAATTATTAATGTCTATGGAAAAGTCTCCTGGCAATAAGTCCAGAAGTCCCACTGTCTTCCCTTAATTACTGAAAAATCATCATTCTTGTATATTTGTTGGTCAAATACATACCACGATCACCACTGAGACATCTGTACAGCTTATTCTCATTACCTGGTTGTACAGTAACTACACTGTACCAAAGAAATCTTTCAGAAGCACACTTTTAGTTATACTTCTGTGGAAAATAAACCTTTACCTTATCTCTTTCAGATGTAAACAGCTTCAGAGTAATCAAATTGTTTATCATGTCAACATGGCCTTTTTCAGATGCCAGAAGAAAAGGCTTTTTACCTTTCTAGAAAACAATTATGGAAAAAAACACAGTTACTGAAAGTAAAAATACTTCGCTTCCAGTTACTAAATATATGGCATGCATTTGTGTATGTGTATTGTGCATAAAAATTTACGTATCATATGACTAAGTAGATTAACAAAAAAGTAGAAACACATAAGAAGAATAAGAGTTTTAAAAACATGCAATATTTAGTTTGTGTAAAAAAACAGTTTATACATCTTGCATATCCTGAAGAAAACATTTGAAAACTGTTCAGAAACAGTAACAAGGTAGAAAATGTTCTTAAAATATTTAATTCTTAATTCTTCTCGGTTTGAAAATACTTATCAAGATTACTGTGTCATTAGAAGTCAGGACGCTCAAAAACAGGCAGTAAAGAAGTTGCAAGATTTATTTCCATGGCATAACAGGTTTGATCTGAATTCTGCAATCACAGACAAGAACAGCCAGGAGGCCTGAATTTAATTATGTGGTGGTTAAACTAAGAATAACTGTTCCAGCTGTTCACAACTCAACCTCAGACATAAAACCATACCACTGGTCAGACAGTGAGGCCATCTAACCAATTAGTTAGATGGCCCTACTGCCTGATAGTGGACTATATTGAGTATCTAAGAAAAAAAATGCAAGCAACTAACAGATAATTATAAAATAACCTCAACATAAAGAAGATTCTTCTTCACCTTTTCTTTCCCAAGGCCTAAACCACAAAAGTCTGTTTTGTTAATTAACTGTGTTTTGTCAGCCTTGTCATGTGTAGAAAAAAATCAGAATTTTGCACCACTGGGTCAATACAGTTCAAGACTCAAAAAAAAAAGGATAGGGGAACTTTGTTCTTGTGATGACAGATCCTACAAGAATAAATTTTCCTCATGTAAAGATAAAATATCCTACTTAGCTAAGCAAAGCAAGATCCCAATGTTGCGAGAAGGCAAAATAAAAGCACAGTAAACCTGATGAAGACAAGGCCCTGGCACTGTTGAAGAGTTGGTGCCCCTCTGTAGGATGGCTGCACATAGTTTTATGTTCTATGTTGGTGAAATAAGCCCAAATTGGACATAACTGGGAGGTTTTGGTAAGGTCAGGGAGGTGCAGGGGTGAGCTGTGAGAGGAGGTCAGAGACTGCCTTACACTGGTTACAGCCACTTCCAGCTAGTTCCACAATGGACAAAACTGACCCACCACATATCAGCACCCAACCCATCAGAGAAGCACATGATACCTTTGTGAAAACATATTTAAGAAAGGGCCATCACCACTACAGGGAGGATGCACAGCGGGAGATATATAAGGAGACATGAGAGAATGCAGGAGAGGAGACACAGGAGAAGGTACACCCACAGGGTGACTGCAGCCCATGGAAGAGCCCTTGCTGGAACAAATAAAAAGTGTGAGAAACAAAGAGCAAAAAAGAAAGGAAACCACTGTGGACTGACCCCAACCTCCTCTGCCTCCCACTGTCGCCTCATCAATAGGACTGAGCAGCATGTGCTGCAAAAGCAAGGGAAGCAGAGGAGAAGAGATGTGTAGATTCAGTTGAGACAGGCAAAGAGGCAGGAAAGGTGTTTTCCCTAAGTGCTTGTCTGGTTGCTTGTCTTATTTGTTTCTCGATACCCAAATCAATAATTAAAAGTCTATGTAACTGGCAATAAACTAACTGAAATTCCCCAAGTCAAGATCACTTTGTCCACAACAGATGCCTCATGACATTAAAGAAATAAACAGAAAGAAACATACTGTACCCCATCAGGCTTGTTCAAGTCATTCAGATGAAGATCTTGGAGAAAATAATCAACTATTTTAACACTGTTGTTCTGAGCAGCAAAGTGCAGTACGTTCATTCCTTCCTGAAAAACCATAAGCAGCTCTGTAAGAACAAGTTTGACTTTTTTTCAACATAAATATGTTTGAGAGTTGGTAAAAATCTGTCATCAACAAACCTCATTCTTAGCCTTTTGATCTGCACCTGCTTTAACTAATTTTCTCATTATATCCAGATTTCCAGTCCAAGCCGCAAGATGAATCACTGTCAGGCCATGCTTCAAATAAAATTATAAAGGCAGAAATTAACCACAAATATACCTCATGGCAAATTTCTTTAAATCTTTTTGATTAGTTCTGTGTATCAGCGTGTTCTCTGCTCTGCAGGCTCTTAGAAAATCAGTATTAACACTGCAGTCTGAGTGGGATTCATCTCACTTAAATTAAGCTAAATATCATGCATCAAGACCCAGCTACATGTTCAGGCTCCCCTCCTCATAGGTCTGGCATCTCCAGAGAATAACTGATCCCATTTTAAGATGGGTGGATTAAATACTATGTGGAAATTATTCCCTCTCTCCAGAAACCTTTAGACAGTACTGGGTGCAGTGGATGACATTTCAGGTGATGATATGTAATGACTGTATTTCCATGAGTCACATAATTTTCCAGTTAGCCCTCCTTTTAAGGTTCACTTTTCTTCTCTCCAATTCTCTAAACCCAACACATCCTGTTGTTAATTTCTTAGAGCCAAAAGGAGTAGAGATAAGGAACTTGCAGCCACTGTCTCCCATCTTGGCCACAGATCTCTCTAGCTTTTCCACACTTCTTCCTCAGTTTGTGTGTACTGTGGCCAGGTGCAGCATCATAAATCATGGCTCATTGTGCTAAATGCTGTGTAAACACAAGACATTTGTACTCCACCAGAAAAACACCTGATCTAAGAGATGGAGTCAGAAGAACCTAAAGGAAGCAAGAGATCAAAGACAATTCCTTAACAGTTGTAATCCTTCCCCAGTTTCTCCTCTGTAAATGAGGAATAAATAGCTTGACTCCCATCAATAATATAGAATGGGAAGAGTTTCCATACATATTAGTAAAACACTTCTGACAGCATGATGCATGCTGTAACAGGGAATTCATGATACTGCTCACAAACTATTCAGTGAATAACAAAACAGTTCAGGCTGGAAGAGGCTTCTGGAGGTTCAAATTTCTACAGCCTCCTGATCAAAACCTGTCCCATTGGATCAGGTCACTCAGGCCCTTCTCCTGTCAAGTTTTGACTGAAGTCTCCCCCTTACTTACTGTTCTCCTCCCAAGTCTGAATAGACTCAGCTCTCTCAGCACCTCTTCATACACCATGTGTCTCAATGTAATCATCCAAGAGATTTTGAACCGGACTCACTCCAGCTTACCAGTGTCTTCCCTGTATTGGGGAGCCCCACACTGGGCACAGTAAACAGACACTCCAGTGGAAAACAATGGAGGGCATCATGGAACATGTGTCTGGTGTGCAGGATACAAGAATAAAGCTGGACTTGGGCAAAATTTGTGGCTCAAAAGTCTGCCGAGGAGAAAGAAATGACCAAGGAGAAAAAGTATCTAGACCTGATAGCCTTACACAATGAGAAGGCGAGCCTGGTGGACGAGGGGAGAGAAGTCAATGTTTATCTCAACTTCTGTAACAGTTTTGACACTGGCCCCCATTACATCTTTGTAGACAAACAGTACAGGTGTAGGCAAATGGATATACCAAGGTGTACTGAAAACAGCTGAACTGCCAGGCCCAAGGTGTTCTGATCAGCAGCACAAAATCCAGCTGGAGACCAGTCACTAGCAATGACGCTAGGCACTGATCATGGGTCCAGTACTATTTAACATCTTCATTAAAGACATGAATGATGGGGAAGAGTGCACCTGCAGAAAATTTATAGATGATATTAAATGGGGAGGAGTGGCGGCTGACGGAACAGATTGGTGTGCTGCCAACCAGAGGAATTTCAATAGGCTGGAAATACGGGCTGACAAGAACCTCATGAAACTCAACAAGGGGAAATGCAAAGTGCCGTACCTGGGGAGGAGTAACCTCAGGCACCAGTACTGACTGGGGGCAAACTCCCAGGGAAGTAGCTTGGCAGAGAAGGACCTGGGGCTCCTGGTGGGCACTAAGTTGAACATGAGCCAGCAATGTGCCCTTGTAGCACACAATACAAATGGTATCCTGGGCCGCATTAGGAAGAGCACTGCCACCTGGTCAAGGGAGGTGATCCCCTCTACTCACTGGTGTGACACACCTGGAGTACTGTTTCCAGTTCTGGGCTTCCCAGTATAGAGAAACATGGACATACAGCACAGAGTTCAGCAAAGGGCCACAAAGATGACTAAGGGACATCTGACATATGAGGAGAGGTTGAAAGACCTGGGACTGTTTAGCCAAAGAAGTCTGAGGTGGAACTTGTAGTTGTGTATAGGAAGATTCACTTAAACATAAGAAAAAACTTTTACCCTGAGGATTATCAAACATTGGAATCACCCAGAGAGGTTATGGAGTCTCCATCCTTGGAGGTAATCAAAACTCAACTCAATTGTGTGGTTTTAATATTGTTGTTATGGAGTCTCCATCCTTGGAGGTAATCAAAACTCAACCGGACACAGCTCTGAGCAATCTGCTTTTTGTGGCCATGCTCTGAGCAGGAGGCTGGACTAGGCCATCTCCAGAGGTTCCCACCTCAGCCATTCTGTGTGGTTCTGTGCATGATTTGTTTGACAGGGAGGAGTCTGGGATGAGAAAAGAAGGCACAAGGGTAGCAAAAAGGTTGGTTCATGAAAATAATAAAAAAAGACAAAGTATACAATCAGATGGAGAACAAAAAAGGGAAGAATCTTGTGATGTCCATAATCTTGTGGTTTTGTACTTCTGCTGATGGTAGTGAAGGTGACCCGCAGATCCAAGCTCCCCCCAGTATAGGAAGGGACTGCCTTGGACTCTCCTGTTGGACTCTCCATCAGCTCCATGTCTGAAAGAGTTGGGAGTGTAGGGGTGGATAAGAAGGGAAAAACTTGTACCTTGATATTAAGTGCAGAAGAACAAGTGACAGAACTGCAGCTTAGTAGTACCAGATTTCCTTGCATTAATGTAATTATGTTTCAGTGCTAATACTTATAATAAGCAATAGAATTGTAACTCAAATCACTCCAACTTGAAGTGATATAACTGTGAATTAACACTACTAATAACAGTGGTGTATTAGCCAATTAATGTATTACTGATTTCTTAGAGATGTGCTGCTTAATCAATAAACTTCTTAACTATGAGTTAGATCAAGTCTCCAAACTAAAGGTGGGAGTACCACATATCTGCTAAGAACACTACTGTGCGTTTTTAATCAGCTTACTTTTTGTACTGAGAAATGTTAAGAATGCTTAAGACCTTACACCTGTTCATACAAAAAGTATGCCAGAAACTGAAATGGAGTAAGAAATAAAGTCACAATATCTTCAGAAACTGAATGGAGTAAGAAATAAATCATAGTATCTTCATTCTGTTTCTTATTAATTGCAAGATCAAGCTGATTGACAGAATACATGAATCACTGTCAAATACAATATGTAATGTCATAATATTTAAGCTCTGCAAGATAATTATGATGCAGAGATTCCAATGGTCTTTCAACAAAAATGATTAACATCTAAGAATTAAAGACAGCTGATAATTAAAAGCTAATCTTTAATTAGAATGAGTGTTTAATAGAGTTAGAGTGTTTAATAGAATCTCAACATGGCTTCAACCACCTTTGCACTTCATAAAGTAAGTAGTCAACATAGCCAAAGCTCTGGACAATGTGTTTTTCCTCTAACAATGTTTTTCCATATAGATTATGTGCAGTGTTAAGACAACCTGAAGCATTTACAGCAAGCACCTAACTTTGTAAAGTGGCGAGCATAAGGTCAAATACCTACTTTTACTTTTCCCCTAAGGTGTTCCTATACTGCGTGAATCAAAACACATAAACAGCTTACCTGATCCGCCATATCAAGTCTAGCTTTGTGATGGAGAAGAAAATCCACCACTGATATATGACTTCTCGCAACAGCAAAATGGAATGCAGTGCGCTTCAGCTGAAATAAGCAAAGCTTTGGTTGTCAGGTCCATAATATGGCTTTTCCTTATTAACAAACACACGTTTGCACAGTTCTTCTTCAACAGCTTTATCTGCATTTTTGTTGCCTTGGATAGAATTAAGGTACTAATCTTAAAGGTTTCTTGTAGAACCAGAATGACTTAGTTACTCTATGTAGCATCATCCCTTTGCTGAGATGTCAAGTAGAATTAAGGAATCATATACTACCTTGAGGAGATGCATGCAATACAAGAAGCATCCATGTTTACTATTTTATTATATGGTTTGATTTGAAAAGCTGAGATCTAAATTTACGCAATTAGATTTTGGTATCCTCCTTGCTTTTGACTGTATCTCTGCAATGCATGATGAGATTCCTCCCTCACCCAATGTTACTCACCTTTCTAGACTGAGTCATTATCTGTGTAAATGAAAGCTTCCACCTTGCAAACAGTGAGTAATTCTATGCAGGTGAATAGGCTCAATGCTTATCAGGAATATTTGATTAATTTACCCTTCAAATAATTAATTGTGTGAGTTTAAAAGGGATTGGTTAAATTGAATTAAACTTTAGTGGAGAGTTTTGCTTCCAGTTGAAGTGAACATAACTGGGTTTAACATAATTCACTGAGAGTTTCCACACAAGGATATATGTGATTTTACCAATTAACTTTAAAAGTCAGTTTAAATTTGTTTGCTTATGCTTCTATGTAGATCAGCTGACTTATCCATGTGTAAGTTTAAATTTACAGCTATATGTGTTAAAAACATAAAAAGGTGGGATTTATGGCATGCATTTATGCCAGAAAAAGCCTCTTGCACAGACACAAATAGTTCTGTCAACAAAATTCACCTTTTGGCAGCCTTGCTTATTTGTCTTGGGAGTACAGGGGTAGGAATGATCAACATGAACAAAAGAATGGTTTTGCCAGTACAAGCTGCAAGCACTAGGGGAATCAATCAATCAATGCACAATACCCACATTGTTATGCTAGTAAAACTCTTATACTATAGGTCTGATTTAAGGATGACAGAGTAAAGATTCAAACTACTGGACTGGAAAGTTACTTAAGTTTAATTTCCTGAATTTTGGAAAGCAATAAAGAAGCAATAACTATTTTTAAGTGACTTTTTAGAGTACTGTGTAACTGATGGGAATACTCTCATTGTTCAAGAGTTTAATCAAAATAAATTTTTGTCTCCCTCTCTTTTTCACAAACAAAACAAGGAATGCACCTGTACTATCTCCTCAATTCCTCAGCTGGGAAAAATGCATGTGGACACGGGAAGTAAGTTTTTTCAGAACCCATGATTAAGTAACATCGGATGTTCGTGGGTAGATGATTGATACACAGCCATTGAGGGAAAACTGTTCTCCACAACTCCCAGTTTAATACCACAACCGCTCCATTGCTGTTGCACTACTTCTCACATGGAATACAGCACCTTGTTACTGTGAAGTATAGATCCTCAGATTTTAGGCCTAGAGCTGATGTCAGCATAAGAAATGCATTTTCATTTACCTAGGGTAAATCTGAACTCTGATCTCAACTCTGTAACCAGAGGATATGGTAGAATACTCCCAGTGGTTCCACATAAACCAAATGGTAATATTTCACACTTGAAATTTGTAATGTTAGCAGCATAAATTCATTCTCAGAGTGACTATGAGGCTAAGTCCTCCCACTCTGAAAGATGAGGAACTTGAGAAATTAGTCACCTAAGAACACAGAGTAAATATTTGAGCAGGGACCACAATTCTGAAGGCCTTAGTTCCCAATGTGATGCACAGACTAGTGGCTAAATGCAAAGACCCGTGAGTTATGCTGCACAAATCCTACTGTCCATACTAGATTTGTGAAATGTTTCTTAACCAGGTCCTAGCAGGCACTCCTGCTTGCCTCACCACCTTGCAGTTGATGGGTCTAGCATGCTGGGATTCTCCCATGCAACCCCAAGAAGTCACATTTCAGATCAGTCAACTGTCAGACCCTTCATACTCACAGCATCTACAGCATTTATGTTAACGTTTTTTTTAAACAGCTTTTCCATGGTTTCCAAATTGTTCATTTTAGCAGCATATTGAAATTCTCTCTCGTCTGGCAATACTGTGAAAAAATATGATGAAAAAATGGTATTACTAAAAAAATAGCCATAAGCAACTTCAGGGATGATGATACTGTTCTTGCTTTCTTTTAATTGTCCTGATTTCAAATTTTCAAATAATGCGAATCATTTGCTTCTCATCATAGAAGTGTTCCAGGATTACATTTTTCTCCTCTAGAGACATCTGGATGATGTTTCTATTTTCAGCTTTTAAGGGCAAATAGAGCTAGGTTTTTCACAGCATGGATGACCATTATTTGCACAGCTCACAGCAAGAAGAGTTCATTTATGAAGCTCTTGCCATCAAAATGGGTCCCAAAGTATTTTATAGGCATAGCAGTGAACAGTACAAACTGCAGCATTTTTTTCCTGTTCTGGGAAAAACTGCTCTGTTTTAAAAGAGAACACCCCACCCAAATATATAAAAATTTATAGCAGTAACCAAATGGTATGAACAAGCTGAAAACAAACAAACCAACCAACCAGGACTTTGGGGGGGGGGGGGGGGGGGGGAAGGCACATATTTGAACTCAAAATTTGGCTGCAAAGTGGAATTTACTATTAAATTCAGACCTTCCTTTAACGTCTCAACCGAAAAAATAACATCTGTTTGGTCAACTAAAGTAGCTGCAGCATGTATTTAGACACCTAATATTCAGTAACTTTGGAAAATAAAATTCCAGTGTCTGATAACTGGTTTAGCTAACTTAAGAGTATTTCTCACGTTTCTACTTTAACATTTAATTCACCACTTAGAAATTAATGCAGCAGTTAAATCGGTCGCAAAAACGTTAGTAGGTATTTTTAATTTCCTAGCATATCACACTTAAAAAGTTAATCACTTCGATATCTTCTGTCTAGAATATTTTGTCCTGAAAGCCACTTTTCCAGTGATATTACCAAAGAGGACAGAACTCTCTTGAACTAGAAACTGCAGAAATGATCTGTTTCTTAGAGGCCTGTCATGCAAGTTCATCCTATAAATTCGTTAAGGCCTAATTAAGAATACAGCTCAAGGCAGTAAGACTGAAGGGCTGTTTCCAGCTTTCCTATAACATTATCCAAGCACCTCAAACAACTGAAACATCCTCCCAAAATTCTCTGGAAATCACAGAATATTACTTGCTTGTTTTACAACACGGGGGTACAGCCAAAACCAAACCAAAACAAAAAGCCGTTGCAAATAAAAATTCACCCCAGGCATCTGTGACAAGGAGTGTGGCTGACAGCAAAATCAGCATAATGAACAGGGATCTCTGCAGAATAAACCATTTTTTTTCGAGGTCTACAACCTAAAGAAGCATCCAGCAGAGTTTCTGGATGCTATCTTGAGTTCAAACACGGATAAACAAATGGTCAAAGGATATCTGGCTCAAGGCAAATTTTTGGCAGACATGGAAACAAAACACAGGGCACCAATTAGCTGCAATTAGTTACAGTTAGGCCCCATTCATTCCTACTGATGGCTGATGAACACTCGCACATGTATCTTACATGAGGATGCAAAGATAAATGCTGTTGCACCTCAAGACATACAGGAACAACCCCACAGTTTACTTGCATTGCCTTCAAGAAACAAGAGAAAAATATGTTTCTCTGCTGTATCTGCATTGGTAATGACAGTTGACAAAGAATTAATAATGGATCTTTTCTCTCCTGTCCATAAGTCATGAATTGGCTGTATGATGTTAAAAAGACCTTTTGCTCTGGGTGTGATCTTAGTATTCTCTCTCTCTCAACATCTCTTAAGGACAGTCGCAACACACCACAGCACTGACTTGCTGCACAACCTTTTGCTGCTTTTGCAAAAATGTTTTTTTCATGCACGAAATGACAAAGGTATAGAGCTGTCAGACTACAGATTTATGACAGCCCTCTATCCAAGCTGGGGTCTCCAGGATTTGGCTACTCACTCTAATTTCAAGTAACAGCAGCAATCAATTATCTATTTGTGGCTGTCAAAATTTTGGGGGGCATTACTTTCTTTGGCTTCATACAAAATGTCTGGTTTATTGTCCTACAGGTTATATAATAATTACATAATTATAAACACAAAATAGTTATATTCAGTTTTTCTTTTGAGCTAACTGAAGTAGTAATTTTAGCAGTTGACTTCCTTTGTAGAGAGCCCTGTCTGCGGTGTACTGAACATCCCACCATTTGTCCTCTCTTAGAAGTGCAAGGATGTAAAAAGACACAGAAAATTAAATCACTTAGTTTACTATCTGAAAACAAAAAGTCTTCCTAAAAGTCTTCCTCAACAGAAACTCAAGCTTCGAGGTACCTTCAATTTTTCTTTCCTTATGTCTTATTTTAGTGGCCCCAATCTGTCTTTCAGTAATACCACAAATAAGGATGACTTCCAGTGAAGTAGAAAAGTGCACCAGTGCTTTCAGTACTCACAGACAATGGAAATCTTTGCACCCACCCCACCTCCACTTTTAATCTCCTGCTATCCATAATATAATTATCTCAGTTGTCATTGTCTCAAAGAGCACATGGAGAAAACCCAGGAATCTGAACTGGCTGAAGAGCTTCAAGAAGGTAAATGCAAACCCGATAATATTCATATTCAAGTGACAACAAAATTTATTTTTACTCTATTGTTTCTAAAAACTGAATCATCTATTTAATGGTTTGGTAACGTTTTCATTGTTTTCTCTACTTCTTGTTTGTTCCTGGAAATAAAATTACTAGGGCAAAGAAGGTATTTTGTTAAGTCCTGAATTTTTTTTTATAAAATAAGCGTTTTCCAATTCAAAGAAGTCATGGGGAAAACTACCTATTGAGTCCAGGAGTGATACATTATTTGTTTCTTCTATCTGTCCTTTTTGCCAGCCTGAAAGCGGGAACCACGGCCCAGGAGAACGGCTCCCGGCTGTCACACCGCGATCACAGGACAGGGCCGTAGCAGGGTGCGGCAATTGCCGCTCCGTTTCCACAAATGACCCGTTTTCAGCAATCGCAGCTCACGCCAGCGCAGGCTGTTCTGTCACAAACCCGTCTGCCAGACGCAAGCCGGAGATCCCGTTTCCGGGGGTCGTGCCCCTGCGTGCAAGGAGACCCGCAGGTCCCCCAGCTTCTGTGTGCCCCCCAAAACGGAGGCCCGGATCGGTTGTGAAACTGTTGGCAGATGCTCAGCCCCAGGGATGTCACCAACGCCAGCGGACCCCCTCGGACAGCTGCAGGGGTGACGTTAAAGGGAGGCGCGGGGCAGTTTGCAGGACCTGTCCCCGGGCAAACAGACCTGCTAAACCTCAGCTCTCCCGATCCCGCATCCGCACATCCTCGCTGGCACGTTTTAGTAGCTATAAAGCAGCTTACGTTTAACATTCCCCCCCCCCGTTTCCGCTCATTTTTTTTCGGGGCCCGAGGCAAGAGGGGGGTCCGGCTGTGCCCCGCCGCCCCGTCAGCCCTTGGGGCGCCGCC